TAGCTGTGCTCATGTTGGTTTATTTTATGTTTCCTGACAAACCATCAAAAGAAGAATGAGAGTATTTATTTAAGGGGCCTTATTTTTCCTCGTCTCTTTCTCTGATTTAAACTTTTGCACAATTATTTTGTGCATTTGCAATTTTATTTGGGGTATTTCACCCTAAAGGAGGAGGATCTGAATGAACTCCAGCTGGTTGCTGGTTTAGCATATTTTTACCGTACCCAGCTTTACGGTAGTTAAACTGGAATGTGATCTTTTCATTTAACCTTTGACCCCGCCTGTTTTGCTCTTTAGTAAATACGTTGCAGCTGATCACCAAATGCAGTTTGTTTGTTGTTTTCTGTGTTGGAGCCGCTGGGATAGTTTACACTTGGATTGTTTGTAAAGCTAATAATAATTTATAACTACGGTAGTTTTTACGGAAGGTTTTTACTTTAATCTGACATTCTAGTTCGTGTATCTTAGCATGACTTGTGAAACATGTTCTGTGGTGTAGTTTCAACTTTTTAAAAGCAATTTGGCCTCATCGCCTCGACCACCATCATCTTGTTTTGGAGACAATCCGAAACGCACGAGTTACGGGAGAACCCTGGGGGGACTTTTAAACATCCAGCAACCGATTCAGTCACAAGGAACTCCAGAGAACATTTGATCAAAGGCTTGGCTGGAATGTTTCAATCAGAAGATTGTAGATGAAGGACTTTGTTAGCCGAGGACACCTCCGGCGCCGTTACAGCATTTCCCTTCAATTATTTAAAATAAATTTTTATTTGCATTTATTTTTTCCTCTGGGAAACATTCCGAGAATTTTGGCTGAAGAATTCATTCCAGCAGGAACACGTGAAACATTTTTCCATAGTTTAAGGTGTTTTCGTGGTTCCTGGTGTGTTAAAGTCTTACGGTCCGGTCCTGGTTCGTGTCAGTTTGTCTATAAAGGTTCAAAAAAGGGTCCAAACCATGTAAATGTCACCGTCTTCTCCGGGAATCCCGGATGTCTCTGCCCAAACCTCGTCTCTTTCCAAGACTCTATCACTCTCTGGGCGCAGCTAACGGGAGAATTGTGCACGTGAGTGGGGAATGAGAGGAGAACCGTGCACGTGAGAGGAAAATAAGAGGAGATCTGTGCACGTGAGAGGAGAATAAGAAAGATCTGTGCATGTGAGAGGAGAATAAGAGGAGGTCCGTGCACGTGAGAGAATGAGGAAAACTGTGCATGTGAGAGGAGAATAAGAGGAGATCCGTGCACGTGAGAGGAGAATAAGATAACCGTGCACGTGAGAGGAGAATAACAGGAGAACCGTGCACGTTTGTATTGTTCTGATGTATTTTCATGTTCAGACACAGTAAAATAAAACATTTTCTACTGAATGAAACTTTGCTGAGTTTTAGCTACAGAAGAACGTTTTCTCAACAATGCGCCGATTTGAAAGATAATCTCACAAGAAAATAAATACATAAAAGACGTCCTAAGTTTTAAACCAGTAATAAAGGTTTGTTCCACAGCAGAGTATCTGAAACAACTAGAACACGCTGAGGAACCAGGGCTGCATTCCATTCCTGCTGCTGCTGATTGTTCTGTAAACAAGCAGAACTTCCTCTAAATGGAATGCAGCCCTGTTAACACACCTGTGCTTGTCCTCACCCATAAGGTCAAAATATCTGATGAAACAGTAAAATGATGAATGTGATAATAGTGCAAAAGAACTGTAGAAGAGCAGGAAAATACATTCATGAGTTTTCCACTCAGTTTTCCTGTAAAGCCCTTCAAGGTGTATTATTATTATTATTATTATTATTATTATTATTATTATTATTATGGTTTATTATTATTATTATTATTGTTATTATTATTATTATTATTATGGTTTATTATTATTATTATGGTTTATTATTATTATTATGGTTTATTATTATTAAGTTTTTTATTTTTATTATAATTATTTATTATTATTATTATGGGTTTTATTTATTATTATTATTATTATTATTATTATTATTATTATTATTATTATTATTATTATTATTATTATTATTATTATTATTATTATTATTATGCAACATTTTCCAAACTCCCCCAGGAACATTGTGTCCAGTATTCCACCAGCTGCAGTCTGGTGGAATACTGGAGTTGAAAAAGTATTTAGGATGAAGAAAATCCCATTTTAGCAGCAAACCAGTTTGTGTGATTTTTACTTTTCACTGATTAGAAGAACTGATATTTGGTTTGATTGTATTGTTAACCTATGCATCAGTCTTACTGCCATGAAATCTGCAGGTGATGAGAAATTCTCGTTCCACTGAAATCTTTTGGACCAATTAAAACTCTTGAGTTAACAACCGGGTCAGACGGGAGCTCAAATAAAATGTTTTTTAATTGAAAAACAACTGAAACCAAACGTGTTTCTGATTTTAACAACGAACCTTTTCCTGCCTCATAAATGTGAGTCGTCACTGACCCCAGATCAGATAGAGATGTTTTTTTTTTGTTTTTTTCTGTCCTGTCTGGTGTGTACGTAGAGGTCAAAGGTCAGAATGTAGTTTTTCCTGTTGCTATCACAGACGTGACTCTTAAGTGTGACTAGATCGTCTCTGACTAGTTAATATTCTGCATGTAAACTCATGAGAAGCTTTTTGGATAAAATAAAATAGTTTTTATCTACATCTGTGTTCTGATCCGTTACTTAAGCCGTTTATTCTGAGATTATTGTAACGTTGACAGCTTTCCTTCTAGTCTCTAATCCAGCATCACATGATGCTCAAACACAGGGAAGGCTGGCCAGTATTTGTGTCGTGCCTTCTAGGATTCTACAACCCCCCCAAGGCGCTTTACAACACAGCTGCCCTGGGGCACACTGATGGAAGAGAGGCTGCTGAACACCGGCGCCACCAGTGCCTCCGACCAAATACTTCCTGCACAAGAAGGTGAAACAATCGAGAGACAAAAGCTTCCTTGGTACAAATGCATAGACCCAGAGCTTTAGCCGGGTCTGGTTCTGGGCCCGGAGCTTTAGCTGAGCCTGGTTCTGGATCCGAAGCTGTAGCTGGGCCTGGTTCTGGACCCGGGGTTTTAGCCGGGCCTGGTTTTGGACCTGGTCCCGGTCCTGGGCTCTCCGTCTCTCTCTATAGAAAAAATACCTTTGAGTGTGGTATTTCTGCAGGAGGGTTAAAAGCACGCCGCCTCTGTATATATAGATTTACAGGCTCGGGGGACAGCAGCAGCTGCAGAACCCAGTAGAACCCTTTTAACCACCAGTCTGAGGAACCAGCCTCCGAGCTTCGTTCATGTGAAAGCGTCTTGGATCGTTTATGTCCGGTGCTCCTGAGTCTAAAGAACGAGTTTAATTCTCTAGTAAAGAACTCATCACTGGTTCTGGACTCAGAGATTTAGGCGGGCCTGGTTCTGGATCCAGAGCTGTAGCTAGGCCTGGTTCTGGACTCAGAGCTGTAGCTGGGCCTGGTTCTGGACCTGAGGGACAAAGGGGGGGGGGGGGGGGGGGGGGGTTAAATTCATCAGCCTTCACCAGGACTTTCTTCCTGGGATCCACCAGCTGTGACTTCCTGGTTGCTTTTAGAACGTCGGAGTCCTGTGATGACGACTGGGAAGGTGACTTTGGATTGAGTAGCTCAGGACTGGTTGGAGGTCTGATGTGTGGAGGATCAAATCCATCAAGCGGATTCATATAAATTGTAAAATGTGAGAAGTTAGAAGTCTCTGATATGAAAGTCAAAAGGTCAAAACATGTTTAAAAACATGCTTGTAAGGACTTAGGAGAACTCTGTCAGAAACCTAGGAGATGGTTAGGGTGTTGGAGAACTTAGAGACATCTCGTGTCCTGTCCACGTCCCCTCTGCCTTGTCTCCCAGCAATCATAGCTCTGCTCCTGGTGTGGTCTTGACCTTTGACCCTTTATGTTGCTGCCCCCTCAGCCACTCTGCCCCGGTGGTTCATAGACTTCTTCTTTGGTCCGTGTCTTTCATAGTTCATGGTTTAGTTTCTTCTCCCAGCCTTCTAGTACAGTTGCAGTTCTGTTTTCTCCTCATCCAGTCCCGTTTTACTTTTAGCAGCCTTATTTAGCTTTTCCCTGCTTCTTTCAGCATTTAGCTCTAGGGTGTTTCTCAATGTCAAGGCACCTGGCCTTATGAGGCGATGTCTTGCGAGGCCAGACGCCTTGCTTACGAGGACACTGTCCTTCCTTGGTCATAGAAAACAGTTAAATGGAACAGACTTGCATCACGTGACCGCAGCTTCCACGGCGGTCACGTAACGTCACGTGACACAGGAGATGTTATATTTTATATGAATTAGTTTCAATATAAATATATAAATGTGTATATGTTTATTAAATTAAATATATAAGTGAGTTACTACCCGCTAGCCACCGAAGCTGCAACTACTAAGCAACTATAACCAACAATAGATAACTTCTTTGGATCTAAAAAAAACATTTTAAATTAGCTGACTTACTTTTAAACTTGAAAATTGTCCCCGAAGTAGCTGCCGGCTTCTGATCCGCCATCTTTTTCAAAATACTGCGGTGTATTGTGGGTAATTTTTGACCAAGGCTAGGCTACAAGACACCTCCCGTGTATCCTTACTCAGCTAGCTAAACGGCTAGCAAACGGAGAACACACGCCTCGGTAGAACATGAACATTGGAACCAACTGGAACACGTCTTGGTGACTCCCGATGACGTATCTCCTAGGCAACCGGGGTGGGGCCAAGACATCAAGGCAAGGTTCCTTGCCACACCCCTGGTGTCTTGTTGTGTTTCTGTGTCTGGTTTTATCTGGTTCTGTACGTCCACCCTCTTCCCTGAAAACAAACCACACCTGTTCCCTGTTTCCTCGTCACTGCCACAGGCTTTCAACCCCAGTTCAGTTCTCCACTCATTGTCGGTTCCTTGTGTTTTGGTATTTGCCTGTTCCTGCTCCTGCTCCTGCTCCTGCTCCCCTCCTTCTCCTGCTCCTGCTCCTTCTCCTTCTGCTCCTGCTCCAGCTCCTGCTCCTTCTCCTACTCCTGCTCCTTCTCCTTCTGCTCCTGCTCCTGCTCCTGCTCCCCTCCTTCTCATGCTCCTTCTCCTTCTCCTGCTCCTGCTCCTGCTCCTACTCCTACTCCTACTCCTACTCCTACTCCTTCTCCTACTCCTGCTCCAGCTCCTTCTCCTTCTCCTGCTCCTTCTCCTACTCCTGCTCCTGCTCCTTCTCCTGCTCCTGCTGCTGCTCCTACTTCTGCTCCTTCTCCTACTCCTGCTCCTTCTCCTGCTCCTGCTCCTTCTCCTTCTGCTCCTGCTCCAGCTCCTGCTCCTTCTCCTACTCCTGCTCCTTCTCCTTCTGCTCCTGCTCCTGCTCCTGCTCCCCTCCTTCTCATGCTCCTTCTCCTTCTCCTGCTCCTGCTCCTGCTCCTACTCCTACTCCTACTCCTACTCCTACTCCTTCTCCTACTCCTGCTCCAGCTCCTTCTCCTTCTCCTGCTCCTTCTCCTACTCCTGCTCCTTCTCCTGCTCCTGCTGCTGCTCCTACTTCTGCTCCTTCTCCTACTCCTGCTCCTTCTCCTGCTCCTGCTCCTTCTCCTTCTCCTGCTCCTGCTCCTACTTTTGCTCCTTCTCCTACTCCTTCTCCTTCTCCTGCTCCTTCTCCTACTCCTGCTCCTTCTCCTTCTGCTCCTGCTCCTGCTGCTGCTCCTACTTCTGCTCCTTCTCCTACTCCTGCTCCTTCTCCTGCTCCTTCTCCTTCTCCTGCTCCTGCTGCTGCTCCTACTTCTGCTCCTTCTCCTACTCCTGCTCCTTCTCCTGCTCCTTCTCCTTCTCCTGCTCCTGCTCCATATGAAACTATGGCTTATTCAACAAGCAACGTTATGGCACAGAAGAGCACTGAAGTTCAAAGAAGAAAAATTGATCACAAGTCAGTCCAAGTCATCAAGAAGGTTGGTTGAAGTGTTTACATCCTGCTGACATAAATCTTTATACATCCAAGAGTTTCAGTGAGTTTTACCTCAAACCTCCAGCGAGATGCTGTTGGATCTGGGTGTCTGAGGAGACAAATACTCTAGTTCAGAATCTTCTGATCGCAGGAGCTTCTAGCTCAGTAGAGCACTGGTTTGGTGTTCATCAGGGTTATGTTCCAACCCCAAACAGGTGGTTTTAGATTAGGTGTGAAGTCTCAACATCATGAAAACCTCTATAGATCTTCTAAGGGTCTGCTTGTGTAGCTCAGTCTGTAGGGCTGAGGGTAGGTCAAGGTCAAGTAGAGAAAAGATCTAAGGAGATGTCCATATGGACCCTGTTTCAGAGTGGTGGGTCCATCAGGGCAAGAAGAGAGGCACCCATCAGAGAGGAGAGGACAAACCTGCAGCTTGTGTGTGTGTGTGTGTGTGTGTGTGTGTGTGTGTGTGTGTGTGTGTGTGTGTGTGTGTGTGTGTGTGTGTGTGTGTGTGTGTGTGTGTGTGTGTGTGTGTGTAAGCTGCAGACCCCTCTGAAACTCCTCCTCTTGCTCTGGAACTGTCAGTCATCTTTATAAAGAGCTTCAGATCTCAATCGCGGACAACGTTTGGATTGTGCTGCCCAGGGGAAAGCAGAAAGGGCAGAGCAGCAGACTCTAATCCCATCAAACATTCCAGCTCTGAGTCATCAGAACAGACAACTGTAGCTGCTGGTGATGTACGTGTCTCACCAGCTGCTAACATGTGCAAACCTCCCGTAACCGGGAAATTAGGAATCACTGAGCATGAGGAGAAAGCAGTGCAGGGTGGGTATTTCCACCGTCGCTGGTTTGCATAGTCCCAAAATGTCAGAGTGTCACCTTACAAAGAGTTTATATTTTTAGCTTGAGGGGGTAGTTTAACCGCTGATGCTATTTTACGGCCTGGCCCACATCCCACTGAGAGCTGAATCCTGGTCCCCTCGATATCCTGACACCTTTTTAAAAGGAGGGATGGGTGGAGCTCCTCTTCTCTCCTGTCCCCAGACCTCGCTTTGGGTCGCAGCAGTTGGGTGTTGCCTCTGTCCAAACTCCTGCTGGTGACCCCAACGATCCCTTTCAAGGGTCCGGACTAAACCACGCGCCTACACGTATTTAAGACTCCAGACATCCATGGATCAGCTGAAACACCGCACAATGGGTGTCCAGGAGAAGCTGGAGATCGTTGGGGTGGAAGATGAGGCAGGGAATCCGATCAGCGCCCTGACCATCCTGTCTCTGCTAGAACGAGTGGCCGGTATCATCGACAACGTCCAGTCCAGCCAGCAGCGCATGGAGGAGCGTCAGCAAGAGCTGGAGAACAACATCAAGACCGTCCAGGGGGATGTCCTGAAGCTGGCCAAAGACCACAGCGACACCAGCGGGACGGTGGAGAAGCTCCTGCAGAAAACCCGCAAAGTCAGCGCCAACGTCAAGGACGTCCGCTCGCGGGTCGAGAAGCAAAATGTGCGGGTCAAGAAGGTGGAATCTACACAAGACGAGCTGCTGACCCGCAACAAGTTCAGAGTCGTCATCTACCAGGTGAGTTTAGAGTCCTGCAGGACATGAACACCTCCGTAGCTCCACTCAGGTTAGGTTTAGAACTTTTCAAGTTTCCTTTAAAGCTGCTGTAGCGCATCTACAGCACAAGCTAGGTTTCAAACAAACACGGTCACCCCTCCCCCAGGTATCCTCCCCAAGACATTTCTGCCGGAACCAGAGCCGGATTGAATAAATGGACTACACTAGGCAGGCTGCATTTTTAGCCCCCCCCCCCCATCAATGTTATTTAATGAAGTGAAATCTGAAACTTACCAAAGTTACTTATAAAAGTTCATTCACATTTTACATGGCCTAGTCTTTGGTTACAGATTGATTGTTTGTATGCCAAAATAAGTCATGTGTTTTATGTTAAACATTCTATCAGACATTTTGTTTTTACATTAATAATTTATATGTCATTACACAGCTGTATTAAATGCTAATAAATTATCCTCATCTTATCGATTGGGAGTGCCATTGTCAAGGCGGTACCAGTAAATAACCACTAGGTGTCATTAAACTATGGAAAACAGAGCAAATATGTTTATCTTATTTGCTCTGTTTACATTTATTCAACACATTTAATTAAAAAGATTTTCTGCTAAATACAATAACTTACAACATTTATAAATGTTGACAAATTAATCACATGATAGTGGAAATACATTCAAGAATAAATAGATGCATCTTAATGGACTGAAGCATGTTTAAAGGCGCAAAAACTAACTATAAACACACAGCTTAAATTATTATAGTATAAATTTTGTACAATCTATAATCTTAAAAGAAAGTATTTTAATTAAATGAAAACATTATCTTAAGTTTTGATCTTGTTTTATGCTCATTCAGGCTGTTGCCTCTGCTGAATCAGAAATTCTGTGTCAATTTTCTGAGTGTGAACTTGTCAGGCTGATCAGACTGGATGAAGGAGAGGAACAAGGTGAGACGTTTAACAGTTTTATTATTTCTCTGGTCGTATCTCTGTGAGGAAGAAACGATGACTGAGATGAGAAGCCGGTCACGGTGTCTTCCATATATAGCCTTGCTTGGCTGTGACGTGGAGGGAATCCCCGCGAGGAGCATGCTGGGAGCTCCCCACGAGGGGCATGTCGGGAGTTGTGGTCCGAAGGTCAGCCGGGAGATACCTGAGTCCTGACAGGACCCCCGGTCCAGGGACGGCTCCAGAAGTCCCAGCGCGACCCCGGCGGACCCAGAAGTCAGAGATCAGGGAAGGGTCCAGGATGGACCGAGCCGGCTCCCAGGAGCGTTCCTCGGGGCCATAGTCCTTCCAGTCCACCAGGTACTGCCAGCCCCGACCCCTGCGGCGAGCGTCCAGGATGCACCGGACGGTGTAGATAGGCTCACCGTCGAGGAAGCGGGCAGGAGGCGGCGCCGGAGCCGGAGGCGGGAGAAGGGAGGACTCCACGTAGGGCTTGAGCCGGGAGGTATGGAAGGTGGGATGGATGCGGAGAGTAGCCGGCAGCCGCAACCGGTACGTGACCGGGTTGATGACCCTTTGGATGGGGTATGGGCCGAGGAACCGAGGGGCGAGTTTCTTGGACCCGGCACGGACCCGAAGGTCAGCCGTGGACACCCAGACCTTGTCCCCAGGAGCATAGGAGGGACCAGGACGGTGTTGACGGAGATGCTGGTGAGCATAGCTGGTGTTAGCTCTGGTTATGGAGGCTCGTGCTTTGATCCAGGCGCTCTTGCAGCGTCTCACCATGGCTTCCGCTGCCGGAACGGCGACCTCGGGTTCTTGGTGGGCAAAGACCGGGGGCTGGAAGCCATAGCAGACCTCGAAAGGGGACAGCCGAGTGGCAGATGAGGTATGAAGATTGTGGGACAGCTCCGCCCAGAGGAGGTATTTAGGCCACTGCGAGGGTTGAGCCGAGACAAAACAACGAAGGTACCGACCCAGCTGTTGGTTAGCCCGCTCCGTCTGGCCATTGGTCTGCGGGTGGTAGCCTGAAGATAGACTGACCGATGCTCCCAGCAGCCGACAGAAAGCTTTCCAGAACCGGGCCGTGAACTGGGGCCCCCGATCCGAGACCACGTCGACTGGGAACCCGTGGAGGCGCACCACGTTCTCCAGGAACAGTTCCGCTGTGCGTTGGGCTGAGGGGAGACCCGGAAGGGCGATGAAATGGACAGACTTGGAAAAGCGGTCCGTAACCGTCATGACAGTGTTGAGGTTATTGACCGGCGGGAGACCCGTGACGAAGTCCAGCCCCACGTGGGACCAGGGGCGGCTGGGCACCGGAAGAGGTCGGAGGGCACCAGCCGAGGCCTGGTTGGGGTTCTTGGAGCGGGCACAGACGTCACAGGCGCTGGTGTATTCTTTCACATCCCTCGCCATGCCTGGCCACCAGAGGGCTCGCTGGAGGAATTTAAGAGTTCTGGAGAAACCAGCGTGGCCAGACAGGCGTGATGAGTGGGCCCAGGACAACGCCTCGCTGCGACAGGCCGTGGGGACATAGAGGCGACCCGCGGGGGTCTCTGGAGGCGCGGGGTCGTCCCGGAGGGCGTTCTGGATAGCTTCCTCCAACGGCCACCTCAGTTGGCCCAGGAAGCGGTGTTCCGGGAGGATTGGCGCTGGCTCGGACGAGGGCGTGGAGTGGGTGAATTGGCGGGAGAGGGCGTCCGCCTTCTGGTTCTTGGCTCCCGGGCGGTAGGCGAGATGGAAGTCGTAGGGTTCAAAGAAGAGGGCCCAGCGAGCCTGGCGAGGGTTAAGCTGCTTGGCAGATTTAATGTGGGTCAGGTTCTGATAGTCAGTCCAGATCGTGAAAGGCCGAGTGGTGCCCAGAAGCCACTGCCTCCATTCCTCCAATGCCCATTTTATGGCCAGTAACTCACGGTCGCCCACACCGTACTTCTGCTGGGTGGTGGAAAACTTCCTGGAGAAGTAGGCGCAGGGATGGAGCCTGTCGTCGGGCCCGCCTTGAGACAGGATGGCGCCGGCGCCGACGTCAGAAGCGTCGACCTCGACCACAAAGGGAACTGCAGGATCTGGATGGCGGAGGATCGGGGCCGAGGTAAAGCGGGTGACCAGGTGGCGGAAGGCCCGAATGGCGTCGGGAGTTAGACGAAACAGCTGGCCAGGGGAGCCTGGTCGAGTGAGAGAGGTGAGAGGGGCTACGAGGGTGCTATAGTTCTTTATAAAACGGCGGTAAAAGTTACAGAAACCCAGAAAACTCTGCAGTTGTTTCAGGCTGGTTGGCAAGGGCCAGTCCTTCACCGCCTGGATTTTCTGAGGGTCCATGGTTATCCCTTCGTCCGAGATCATGTAGCCCAGGAAGGATATGGACTGCTGATGGAAGGAGCATTTCTCGGGTTTACAGTACAGGTTGTGGTCCAGGAGCCGGGTTAGGACGGCGCGAACATGATGGATGTGTTCGGCCTCGAATTTGGAGTAGATCAGTATATCGTCCAGATAGGCGAACACCCACCGTCCCAGCATGTCGCGGAGGACATCATTAATGAGACGTTGGAAGACAGCAGGGCTATTGCATAGTCCGAAGGGCATAACCAGGTACTCCCAGTGGCCGGTGGGTGTTATGAACGCGGTCTTCCACTCATCCCCGGCCTTTATACGGACCAGATTGTAGGCGCTCCGGAGATCCAGTGTCGTAAAGATCCGTGCCTGGGAGATGGCATCCAGAGCGGTAGTGAGGAGCGGCAGAGGATGGCGGTCCTTGACCGTGATCTTGTTCAGACCCCGATAGTCTATGCAGGGGCGAAGATCGCCTTCCTTTTTCTTCACGAAGAAGAAGCCAGCGGCACCCGGAGAGGAGGAGGGTCAGATGAACCCCTGCTGGAGGGCCTGGGCGATGTATTCTTCCATCGCTTTGGTCTCGGGAGGCACGAGAGAGAAAAGGCGCCCGCGGGGAGGACTGGTTCCGGGTAGCAGCTTGATCTCCATATCATAGCGACAGGGGTAGAAGAAGACCCAGACTGAGCGACCCCAATACTCAGTGGGGCCCCCCGTTTCCCGATCGTAGCGGGCAGTCCAGGCGTCGGTGGTCGGGAGAGCCACAGTAGGCACAGAGGCCCTCACGCCACTGTCGTTGTCTCTCCTCGGGGGGAAGGTGGCCGAGCTGCATGGGCTCCTCCGCCAGCATGGGTACAGGAGCTGGCGTGGGTGAACGAGGGCGAGGCACCGGCGTCCTGGGTGGACGCGTGGATAACTTGGGTCGAACCAGAACCCGCTGGTCGATGCGCAGCGCCAGATCAACCACCTCATCCAGGGTCTGAGGCAGCTCCCTTCCCGCCAACTCATCACGGATGTAGGGTGCCAGCCCCTCCAGGAAGGCGGCCCGCAGAGCGGAGTCATTCCACTGCAGCTTGGCGGAGATGGTGCGAAACTCCGACGCATAAGCGCACACCGAGCGTTCTCGCTGGCGGAGTTTGAGAAGGCGTGTCTCTGCTCCCACTTCGCTGCTGGGGGGAACAAAGGTCTTCCGGAGAGCGGACACAAACGCAGCATAGTCGTTGCAGGCAGGGGATTTGGAACTGTAAAGCGCAGCAGCCCACTCCGCGGCGCATCCGGAGAGCAGGGAGGTGAGATGCGCCACTCGGGAGCGCGCAGATGGGTAGCGTCCAGGTTGGCACTCGAACTGCATGTCCAGCGTGGCGAGCAGACCATCGGGGCTCCCCGTCTCCCCGTTCCACCTCTCCGGCAGGCTGAAGTGGGGCTCCTCCCTAGGAGCAGAGCGGGTTGGCTGCTGGAGTGCAGCGATCTGTTGCTGCTGATCGTTTGCCTGTTGTTGGAGAGCCGTGAGAGCCGTGAATAGACGCAGGGTGTGGTCGGACAAGGAGTTCACCTTGGTGTTGAGCTGATCTACCATGGAACGCAGCTGCACGTTCTCGTGGCGGAGACGATCGATCTCCGTCGAATCTACTCGGATCTCAGTCATCCTGTCAGGCTGATCAGACTGGATGAAGGAGACGAACAAGGTGAGACGTTTAACAGTTTTATTATTTCTCTGGTCGTATCTCTG